AGGAGACCTCCCAGCAGGTATGAAATTACCTTCTCTGAATTAATACCCACTTCAACAAATTAAAGGTATAGAAAAGGTTTTATTTATTACTTAGAAAATGTCCCTTGATGCTTCCTGCTTTGATAATTAGTCAAGCTGGGTGATGGGTGGTGTCTCGTGAGAGGACCATTCATTATTGTGAGGTCACCTTAGCACCCGTGGAAAACGTTAAATCAAATGTTTGGGGTTTTTTTCCTTCATAAATAGTTCTTTTAGATAAATGAGAAAGCTACGTAGTTTATGCATACTTGTTTCTTGTCAGTTGAGAAACATTTGCCCAAAGATACGCAGTTTTGATCTCTAGTTACAATAAACTAAATTTGATCCCACATTCTGTTTCCTTGTTGTGACATGTGGTAAGATCGCTTTCAAAGTATACATCACGATGAACTCATCATGGAAAAGAATGGGGTGTTATAATTATAACCATTACAGCTTTTACTGAGGGCGATAAAGGACAAGCTTCTGTTGCCGAAGTGTTCCTGTGATTACATCAGAAATAACAGGCAGCAGTCACCTTCCATTAGGGGTGTGAGAGAAGGCTCCTTAATATTTAAGTGCTCGCATAAGGTGCTGAATGAATCATCCTCAGCCTCATCATGAGGAATTAAAAATAGAAAGGAACAGTTGACATCATCCTATAGCAAGTTTTTAAGGAACAGAAAAATGTCAGATAATTTTATAAGAAACGAGGTATTGAAAAAATGACCAGCCCACATGGCAATAGTGTGTTGTCAGTGGTTCTCAGACGTCAGCATGACTGAAAATCACCAATTGCTAGCGTCCACCTGAGTTTCTGATTTGTAGGTATCTGATGGGATCTGAGATTTTGCATTCTCAACATCTCAGATGATGTTGCTGGTTCAAAGGCTACATTTTGAGAACCACTGAGCTATGGGAAAGAAGCAGTTCTAACTTGGAGATGGTTTCAGAAACAGAATTTTAAGATTAATGTCCTAGTGCCTATTAAAATTTTGATTAAAAATACTGAATTGCATTTAGGTTGGTGTGCAAGTTTCATAAAGGGAATCTGGCATTTGTGAGGTTGTAAAAGAACATTGAACATGGTGGTAAACCTAGGTAAGGGGTTCCCCAGCACAGTGTCACTGTGTTTTGGTAACATCTTGAATAACCTTTTTTGGCTACAAATATTATGTAAGTCAAGTTATTGGTGAATTCAGAAGTTTGTATTTTTTCTTTGTAAATCAAACTTGCCTTATTTGGGGTCATCTGTTGGAGAACAGTCATTTTAACTAAGGCATTCTAGTCTAAAACCACTAAACCACTGTCCTTGTCATACCTGTTTGACAAAACAGCTGTCAGCAAAATGCAAGTGTAACTCATCAGATCCCACCTGCTGCTGTGGTTCCAGGCTACACACTAGTTCTAGAACTGTTCTTTTGTAATACTATAAATGTATTATCCTATTAAAACCACAGAAGCCACAGTCTTAATCATTAATGTTTGTAGAAGTCTCGCTCCTGCTCTGAAGCCTTGTGCCATGCTTCTTTTGCTATAGTTTGGGAATCCCTGCTGTCTCAATGAGGCACCAGGATGACGTCTGTTCCAGACAGATGAAAACAGAAACCTGGGAAGTCACTTGGTTGCTATCACATGACTTGAATGTGGAACCATGTACTTGAACCCAAACCATGTGAACAAACAGGACAGATTTTAACTCTGTTACAATGTGGAAAACTTTTTATGGGGTCTTGGTGAAAGAACTCATTGAAATGAAAAGATGCTACAAAGTTTTTTTTTTCCTTTTTTTTTTTTTTTAAGGGATGGCACCCAGGTCTTTGCCCATGGTAGGCAAGTACTGTATCACTGAGCTACATCCCCAGCTCCTGCTGCAAAGTTTTGAGGTACAAATAACCCAGATCTTTTGAGATTACCATTGTGTAAATTCTGGTGCCAAAGACCACTATGAAGTTGTGTAATTGGATAAATCTTACTATGTGGTGATTTTAGCTGCTCTGGCCAATAACAGGATGGAAGCCAATATTGTGATTGTGAGTCTCTTTCTCTCTGTGACCATCTGATGCTTGAGAAGGAAGATTGTATGACTTAAAGTTTATAAACATGGTTGTGATTGGTCTTACTACTGAGAGTCTCTCTCTGGGTGTGAAGATATTTCAGGTAGAACCATAGACTCCTTCTAACCATTTAAAGGAATGGGTTAGCTGAATTTGCCCTAGGTATAGAAATAGTGAGGGAAAGTCGGCACTGTGTTCCATCTGTCCATGGGGGGTTTTGGTAGACTTCTGAGGTTCTCTTTTGGGGAGGCATTGTCCATAAGGAATAAAAGGAAGAAAAGCTTGAGTGTAAAATTGAGAAGGGCTGGATGCTAGTGGCTCACACCTGTAATCTTAGCTACTCAGAAGGCAGAGATCAGGAGGAAGATTGTGGTTCAAAGCCAGCTTGGGCAAATAGTTCTCGAGACCATATCTCAAAATTACCCAACACAAAAAAGGCTCAAGTGGTAGAGTGCCTGCCTAGCAAATGTGAGGTCCTGAGTTCAAACCCCAGTATCACCAAAAAAAAAAAAAATTGAGAAGGGATCAATCTGACAGTGTCTAGAGCTAAAGGGCATGGACGGTTTGAGAGGTCTGGAGCTGGCCTGTGTCTTTGCATCCTGAGCATCTCACACATGTATTGGTTTACCATGGTACACTTTTAGAGATGCTGTAGATAGATGTGAGGGCAGAGTGAAGATAAGAAAGTCAGGTGCAGATTTCTAAATAGAATACTTTCGTAGAGAGCACAGCTTATCAAGGAGATTTCATTGTAGACCATTTATAATGTCTTTTATCCCAAAAAGGGTACATTCTGATTGAACATGAGAGTCCAGTTTTTTTTTCTTGGCTACTCTCACTGTGCCCTGCATTACCGTCTTATTCCTCTTTCAAGATTGAATTGTACTCCATGACCTTGCTCTACAAATGCTTTCATAGTTTAGGTATAATTTTAAAAGGGAGAAAAAAGAAATTGAGAGAGCCTAGAAAAGATACTTTTGGATGCAATCTTGATGAAAGGTGTGGTGGAATGCTGTTTTTAAAATTGGCAAGGAGAAAGGACTTCCTTTGAAATTTTCTTTATCCATAGAGCTAGAAATAGTTGTGAATTTTCATTAATTTCATATACTTAGGTCTGCAGGAAATGATATTTAAACCTACTTGAACATTAAAATTTTTCCAAGGGTAGACGTAAATAGCCTTTTGGTTTCTCTGTGACTATGGATTTTGCAAATGTTCACAGCCAAGGTGACACAGTATTTCTTCTGTGACTCAGGAAATTGCTTGTCTGATTCTTAAGGTAAAATCAAGATTGAGTTCTCAACTATGTGAGTTTTGTGCGAGGAAAAGAATCCAGATTTGAAAGCATTGAAGAGGTGAAGGCTGATGAAGGTTTTTTGTCCACATCATGGACATTTTTTGAGTCTGATAGATGATTTATGAATCCTACCAGTGGTGAGACTGTTACTCCTGAGGACTTGATCCCAGTACTCATACTCACAGGAAAAATTATCATATAATATGCCAAATGAGATATTTATGAAAACATAAAAGTTTAGTAAAAACATAGGAAGTACACTGATTTTATTTAGCTCTGAGGCACATGAGTCTATACTACTACTCACGAATGAGGTATTTTTGATAATGACTAAGATGCTGAAGATTGCTTTCTAGAAATCTTGATGATTCAAAGCCCACAGTCACCTCAAAGGTATCACAAACAGATGCCAGTGTATAAAGGGGAACTCATGGTCACCAGCACTGATTCAGTTCTTTTCAACCTTCCACCCTGAGTAAACACTTATTGAGCTCAGACCATTTCCTGGAGATAGTAGATGTGGAATGACTGCAGGTTGAGCCTGCTCTCCCGAACTGCACCAGCACATAACCCTCTGGTATTGCTCAGAGCCTGCTACACACATGAAAATGTTAGTGCTGTGAGTGTAGTTATATGCCACAGACTATATAAAGAAGGAATGGACTTCATGTGGATTAAAAATATCCAAACTTTTTCAGAAGAAAATTGTACAGCGTGCTTTTCCTTGAAGTCTTTAAGAATAAGTTAGGCTAGCTAGGTGTGGTAGTTCCTGCCTATAATCTCAGCACTGGGTGCTGAAACAGGAGGATCATGATTATAAGGCCAGTCTGAGCTACATGGTGAGGCCCTAGCTTTAGTTTTAGAGAATTTATCAGTAAGATAGGTGGATGCAGTGTGTTCTTTATTTCCCCCTCCCTCCCTTACTATTGAGGGTCTTTTCAGCTTTTTAATTCTCTGCTTATACATTCCAGGAATATCAGAAACATTATATATGTCAATGGACGTGTTTCTCTCTTTTTTTTTTTTAACAGGCATTTTATAGAGGGAAAATATTAGCCAAGTTGGAAGCACATTATAGATGTATATCTAAAATGGTTTTTTACTGCTTATTTTGGTTTTATTCTTCAAGGCGAAATAGCTACAAGCTGTGTTATATTTGAATGAACAAGCTTGTAATTGGATTGGCTTTATCTCGTAGGTTTTTTTGTAATAGAGCTATCTGTTTTTAAAATTGTGTCTGTATGAATACTTTGGACTATGTTTGTATTGTAATGTGGTCTAGACTGGAGGATTGGTGAAAGCTTTGGTTTAGTGCCTTCTGTGACTTGGAACAAAGATTCCCTTTCCTTGCCAAAGGTTGCCTTATTCCTGCTGAACTAATAATGGATGGATTTGGATCATAACAAGCAAGATAATATTTTTTAACAAATGCTTCTGGGTGTTGAAGTGATAGGGCCTCCCACCTCACTGTTTTTAGGTGTCTGCTTGGGGGAGACTATCTGCCTCTAGGAAGTTGGGTTCCAAAAGTTAGAAGCAGAGTTCAGGCAAGCTCTTTGTCAGCCTGTCTTTTTTAAATGGATCAAATGCTTAAAGAGGAGAAACTTAAAAATGTCTTGTTGTGCTTTCAGGAGGAATTCCTATTCTAAAGTGGACATTGGAGAAGGATCAATTAGGCTATGTAAGTATTGTAATAAGCAAACATTCACCCTGGCTAAGCACTGAGTCCAGGACATCTGCCATAGGAAGAAAAAAGACCAAGACGTTGAATTTGATGTTACCATTTGGAATCATCAAAAAATATGCTTTGGTCCCAAAGGACCTTGGGTGACTTTCCCGCTGCCACCTGTGATCCTGGGGGTGCATCTCTGACTATCTGGTTAAGGTTGTAGGGCACAATTGATTTTTTTTTTTTTTTATGTTAACCAGGCAACAACATTTTATCTACATAGAATTAGCCAAGTGATCAGAGCAGAAGGCAATTTATTACTTTATTCAACCATTACCAAATATAAGTTTATTGAGTTCGATCACAGCCACTTACTCTTACAAAGGAGTGGCCACTTCAGAGCAACCCAACCCAGGCCTGACACACAGAAGATCATGATGTGAATGTAAGTAAAGCCACTGAGCTGGAAAGTATGATTTGCAAAGATTGTACAACCTCTGAACTTGGTCTGTATTGAGGAACCATAGCTCAAGGAGTACATTTTCTTGTCTCCATATTTTATGAAGAATGCAATTTGCTAAACACTTCCTTATTTTAACTGTCTGGATAATCTGCAGTGCTCAAAACCACTGTCTAGGCTATCCTTGAGAGTTAGCTTGGTAAACTTGGAGCAGAACATTTGGATTTCACAGGCTGATAGGATATGGGTGTCAAGGTTATGGGGCCAACACAATGAAACATTAAGCATTTCTAATTCTTACTGCTTTTATGTATGTGGGTCTTTGAACACACTTTGTTTCTAACCACATCACAGGAGAAAAAAAAAATGTCAGTAGCCCACAGCAGATGAATGTCTTGATGTGAATAAAAGCATTAATGCTAAAATAGTGAGAAAAAATTCATGTGACCATGTGACTTTTAGTGATGGCTTCTGTTTAGCTGTCAACTTGAGAGTTTATGCCTCTGGGAGAAACCAGAGAAACAGGAAGTGTCTCCTTTGGAGCCTCAAACATATTTTGAGACTCTAAGGATATGAGGTTTTGGATAAAATATAGCAAGCACATTTAATTTCCTTGTCCCCATGCGCACACTCATGCTCTGCTTGATGGGAAAGTGACTTTGTGTCAGGGACTAGACAGCTAAACAGTCTGTTTTCAAGGTTCTGTTCCTTCTGAAACTCGCAGGGAACAATTCACTGCTCTTCAAGGGTTGTCAGGTTTGGCAGCTGGGGTAGTAGGCTGGCCTCAGGAGGCCAGAGCTGGGACTACAGTTCCTGCTATCCAGTTGCTGTGGCTTGTGCTTGAAGATGAGTATCTTCCTGAATTTATTGTGCTGTGATTTTATTTTATTTTTTTTCTGGCACTATCTGTACTTCCCTCCTGCTCTCGGCTCTACACAATGTGGGTTTGACAGCCTTCATGAAGCAGGCAGACGTGTTGGCGTCGTGTGGGACTCTTGGGCTGTGTCTTTCTGTCACCAAATATGTTGTCACTTTCCCCCTTCAGCATGCCATACCTAGCTGCCTTTGGAGGGGCCTCTTGGCTCCTTGGGGAATGACTACCGAAAGAGCAGCTGTCTGTCAGCCTCCCCCAGAGCCGTCATTGGAAGAGTTCCCAAAGCAGCAGACTTCGCTGTCACTGACATTTATAACTTGAAAGCCATATCACAGATGACTTTACACGGCTTATCATTCTTTAAATAGCCTTCAGCATATAAAGCATGTGGCTTTTACACATGTGGACCAACCTTGTGAGTGGGAGAATCCTTGGACCTTCCTGAAAGTATTGAAGTGGCTCACCGTCTCTGTCCACCATATTGTAAAACCAGGACTCTTCCAAGTTAGCTCAATATAAGAAATACCAGAGATAAATCAGTTTAGAGAAAGTTTATTTTGGCTCACAGTTTTGGAGATGTCAGTCCATGGTTAGGTCCCATTCCTGGGTCTATGATGGGGTAGCATATCTTGGTGGCATTGCATTGTGGCAGAAGCCTGTTCACTTCTTGGCTAGGACACCAAGAGAGAGGACAAAAGAGCAGGAGCTCACAAACCCCTTTGAGGGCATATCCCCAATGATCTAAACCTCTCCAATTTTAAGACCTCTTCAACTTTTCAACACCTCCCAGTAGTGCCATGATCTGGGGATCAAATCCTTAACACACAGCCCATTGGAGGATATTTCAGGTCCAAACTATAGTACTTAGGAAGTTGTCCTGGCTTTATGCTTAGTTTATGTGTGACTATATGAAGTTGTGTAGATTGGAAAGAATATCATATTAGCCTCAAAGATCAAATGACTCTATATTTGATAACCACACATAGCATGTGATAAGTGAGGGTGTCCCTGGGAAATGTTTCTCAGATGCGTCAGTGGGTTCTGTACCTGGTCAGTTCTGCTCTGATGTCTAAGAGAACCAGCTTCTAGGCCTAATTTCTTGAGACATGACCAGAAGATAAAGATGCTGTGCTTGTGGTGGAAGTACAAACCACTCTAGTAGATCTGGGAACATATCTTGCTACAGAAAGTAGAGAAGGGCAGAAGGAAAGCAGAATGCATTTTAGTTTTTGTGGGTCTATGTAGACTATAAATCCTTTTAGGAATAGGATTGACTTTATAGCTGTTCATGCCTTCAGTGGCCATCTTGTAGCAGCATAAGAGCTGAACGAAGGGAGGGAAAACAATCTTTTCTTTTTAGGTAGAAAAGATTTTGCTCCATTTTATTTTTATCTAGGTAGCTCAGTCATTGAAATACATGAATCAAAAAAACCCGGATTATGGGATTAAAAGTTAATGAAGAACCAGGTGTGGTAATGCATGCCTCTAATCCCGGCTACTTGGGAGATCGAGGCAGGAGCATTTTGAATTGGAGGCAAGCCTGGGCCGCACAGGGAGAGCCTGTCTCAAAATAAAAAGGAATGGAGGTGTCAGAGAGCTTGCCTAGTGTTTGAATGGTTGTAGGTCTGTCCACAGTACCATATACACAAGTATACACAAGTTAGTGACGTTTTCCTGTTGGCATCAAAGGTGAGCAATTTGAGGCAAGAAATGAGGACTTTGATTACAATAAAACACCTACATTGACTGGGCTCAGATTTCTTCCTGTGATTACCAGGACACTGGTCACATCTTATGAAGTGCCAGTGTCTGGTCTTGGCTGGAGTAGGCAGGAATAGGCTTCCTGAGCCAGCTTGATGGCGGCCAGGATCATCAGTTGAACAGTGCCTGTCATCTCTTCCTGGCCCTTTGCCTTTAGTACCTGTGGCTATTCCTCATCTCAGCCTCTCTGAGCTCATGAGATGCCTCCGATTGTGATATTTCTCTCTCAGGAGGCAGTGGCCAGTGACAGAAGGGCATGGTGGACTCATCCCTGCCCCTCCCAGCCCCAGGGCAAGGTGGGGCTGTGGGCCAGCCAGGGCCTCACTACCAGGGCCAGTGTGCCCCATCAGAGTGGGTTTCTTCATAAGAGGCTTCTGGGGTTGAGTGAATCTAATCAAAATCCCCATTCATGGCAGAAGGGTTTCAAAACAGCATCATACATTTGTACTTTGGCTTTACTTGGAAAAAGAAAAAAAGATTAAATAGTTCAGAGACACAGATGAATACAGGGACTTGGTGGGATCTATATGTACCCTCCTTATTCCCCTCATTTCTGATCTTGCTGATGGCTTACTGTCTTTAAGAGGTGTTTGTTTTGGCTTATGTTAAAATTACTGGCCTTTTGTACTTGGAAGTTGTAAATAATATAGTTGGACCCAGACCATCACCATTCTGGGTGATGTCTCCCAGTTACCCATGTGCTGTGGGAAATTGGCACTACTTGAATCACCCCACTTGCAGTTTCCTTGCTTGATCTGTCACTGTATTGCTGCTGTCTGTTTTCCCTCCGTTTGGAGGGCTTCTTGTGCTTGAATCCTGTCTGTCTCCCCTCCCCACTTCTCCAGCTAGCTCAGGACTCCCTTGTGACAGATAGTTTGTGAGGTCCTGCTTAGTAGAACTAATGCAGTCGCCACATCTTGTTCCCTTCCTTTTATATTTCATCATGCTTGATGCTGCAGACAACTCACTTTGTAAATAACTCCTGACTTCTCCCCCAGCCGGGGTACAGGCTTTCTCTCTGTTATGTTGACTTCCCAGCAGGCAAACGCCCTTTTACTTTGCCTTTCAGGTTTCCAACAAGGGACAGACTGCATCGTTTGGGCAGGCTGAGGTGTTCCCTCAGGATAATTAAGCTGGGTGAGGTGCACTGACTGTTTTTAGACATTGCTTCTGTTAGCTGGCCATTTTCTGGATGCATGGCCCTGGTTACTTGAGTGCAAAACACACTCAAATGACTAATCACTTACTTAACTCTCTGTTTTAATCAGAGCCTTAAGGTGGGTGACAGGAGTCGACACTCACAGTGAGCACAGGGACTTGTATAGATCTACCAGCACCTGTATCCTGTGAGGGACACTACCTTAACAAGAAAAGGCTGTGGAGCCAGAAAGAAGAGGAAAGCCTGGGTGAGGGGCGGCATGAAGATGGGGAAAGGGGTATGGTAGCCCTGGTAATTTGGTTGAAGAGTTTTGGGACACTGAGTTTACCATGATGAACTAGTACCATTAAAAAACACCAAACAAATTACTGAGCTGGGCATGGTGGTATACACCTATAATGCCAGTAATTGGGAGGTGGAAATGGGAAGGGGAGCAATTGGAGGCCAGCTTGAAGCACATGAGGAGGCTGAGCTATATAAGGCAACCCTGTCTCAAAAAAAAAAAAAAAAATCCAAAATAAAATACAAGCAAAAAATAGAAATAAGAAAAGAAATTGAAAAATAAGTTAAAAATGTAAGTTTTCACTTTCATGATTAGATTCAAAGACATGAAATTGCCCTAGGAAATTAAAAAGTTTCTAGAAAATGCTTCCTCCACATCAGTACAGAGATAAATTCTGTGGATTGGCAGTGTACTGTAGATCCCTTTGAATGGTACTGACCTTGGAGATAGGTCTCCGCTCTCTCTTTGCCCTTGT